CTGCACTCATGTGCACATATCCACACACAGACAAACACACACATATGCACACTATTAAAAATAAAATTAATTGTGGTAAATATATATGTATATATATAATAATAAAATTTACCATTTTGGTCATTTTAAAATGTGCCATTCAGTGACCTTATTAAGATTTATTTTATTTTTATTTATGTGTATGTGTGTATGCACATGTGTGTGCAGGTGCCCAAGGAGAACAGAAGAGAACATAGGATCCCCTGGGGCTGGAGTAGGCCCTTGTGATTAGCCTGACGTGGGTGCTAGGAATCGAACTCCCATCCTCTGTAAGAGCAATATACACTCTTAACCACTTCAGCCATCTCTTCAGCCTCCAGTGACTTTATTAAAGGCATTCCATTCTGATTGGCGTTTATCTCCAAAATTTCTTCATCATTCCAAAATGAAGATTGGATGTAATTTTTTTCCTCTTGAAGTTATATTTGTCATTTCTCCTTACACATGTACATATGTATGTACATACATACGTACGTATGTATGTATGTATGTATATATTTAGTGTAGGCAATTTGGTAAAAGCCAGAGAAAAGCACAAAGAAGTGCTAACTCTAATTCCTCCAGTGAGGCAGCAGACAGGCAGAGAAAGAAAGTGAGAGCTATCCAGCTTAGAAACTTGATCATGTGGGAGAAACTTTTGAATAGAAAAGGCAGGACAGTTTCCTTGCATTTAACTGTTGCTTACCTTAAAGAGGACTGACTAGTCCAGAGCAGCGAGGCATTCTAAAGAACCCATCCCAGTAAAGACTCCATCTGTGGCTCTGGTCATTACTGTACAACAAAGTACCACCCCCCAACTTAGTGTGGTGGTAGACGATCCCTAGGTGTCATTCCTGTCCCTCACAGTTCTGGCATTAGTGCTGATATATTCACACAGTGACTGAGGGTGAGGCAGAGGGGAACCTTCCTCCCTTACATGTCTGGCTCTTGGGCTGGAGAGGCTAACACAGCTGGAGGCTGAGACAGTAGGGCTTTCAGCTTCTCTCTCTCCATGTGACCTCCTCACCAAGTTCCTTGAGCATGGTTGCTGCAAGGGACTAGCCTTCTTACATGGTGGCTCAGTGCTCCAAAGGTGTTTATCCCCCAAGAGAAAGAGGCAAGAGCACCATCCCCTTTTATGAAAAACCTCAGGAGTCATGCAGTATCTCCCCTAACATTCTGCACTTCAGAAACCAGTCACTGAGTCTGGCCTGTGTTCAGAGGGAGATGAATTAGACCCTTTCTTCCTTCTTCCCTTCCTCCCTCCCTTCCTTCCTCCCTCCCTCCTTCATTCCTTTCTTCCTTTTTCTCTTGTCTCATTAGAGCCTAGATTGGCCTCAAATTCATTATATAGTCCAAGAGGACCTTGAACTCCTGATCTTCCTGTTTCTGCCTTCCAAGTGCTAGGATTATAGGTGTATACCACCATGCTTGATTTATGAGGTGCTGGAGAGCAAACCAGGGCTTTGTGTGAGCTAGAGAAGCATTCTAACAACTGAGTTACATCCCCAACCTCCTAAACTTATTTCCTTTTTCACATAAATGATATTTAAATTTATTCTTTTGAGAATTTCATACATGTGTATAATGTATTTTGATCATATCTACCCCAAGGCCTGCCCATCTGGCCCCAGCTTCCATGTTGGCTCCAGCCCCTGGCCCTGGTCCCCTGCCCAGTTCATACTTCCTGCACTCTGCTAACCCAGAGTTTACTCGGAATCCTTCCCTGCCCTATGGTCTGGCCTGAGTGCCCTGACTGCCTGTCTCCAGTCACAGCTGGCACCACAGAGCTCTATAATTGCACTCCCTAGCCTAAGCACCATGCAGGCAGGAACCCCTTGCTCACTATTGTGCTCCTGCACCTACAGCAGATCCTGCTCCCCCCACCCCCCCAGGGAAAGCCTCCCTGTTATGCCTGAACAGGCAACAGTGGATCTGTAATTTTTTTTTTTTTTTTTTTTTTGGTCTTTTTGAAGCAGGGTCTTCCCTGTGGCTCCAGCTGTCCTGGAACTCACTATGTAGACCAGGTTGGCCTTGAACTCCCAGAGATGCACCTGCCTCTGCCTCCCAAGTGCTGGGACTACAGGCGTGTGCCACCATACCTGGCTGGATCTGTCGCTTTTTAAAGATTGTGCATGTGTGCATGTGTGTGTGTGTGTGTGTGTGTGTGTGTGTGTGTGTGTGTGTGTGCTGGGACTAAAGACGTGTGCTACCAGGCCCACCTCAACCATATGCTTTAGACCTAAGCTATAGGGCCACCAAGATGGCTCAGTGAGTAAAGGTGCTTGCTGTACAAGTCAGATGATCTAAATCCAATCTCTAGGAACCACATAAAAGGTGGAAGGGTGTGGGGTCTCTCCCTCTCCTCATGGGTCATTGGCCACCGCTCCATGAGGACAAAGGGAGCAGAAGCAATGAGCGGGGTCAGGACGGCCAGTGAGCACTGATGGAAGAAATCCCTTCCGGGGAGGCAGGTTCAATGATACAGGCTCAGTGAAACAGCTCCAGATTCAGTGAAACAGCTCCGTTTATTCAGTGGGGGTTAGGGAAAACATAGTGTGGAGGCAGTAGCCAATGCCTCAGCTGATAGGTGCTCATAGTATGCTTTATTTACATGTGGCAGTGGGCTCCTATCTACCAGGCAATGCCTGCTTATCATATAGAAAAATCTTGGGGGCAGAGTTTTTACTCTAGGTAACTATGCCAAAGGTCATGTTCCAACTAAGGCCAGGCATCTGTGCTTGGCGGTACTTTCCAGGTAAGTCAGGAAGAGAGCAGGAGGCCCCCTGCTGAGAAGGGGCATCCTTCCATATGGCGCCAAGCTCCTTAGAGCTATCCAGACATGGGGACATGGAGGACTACAACCCTAGCAGCAGGGTTCCCCAACAGAAGGGGAGCCCAACATGGTGGCACATGCCTTTAGTCCCAGCACTAGGGAGGCAGAGGCTGGTGGATCTCTGTGAGTTCAAGGCCAGCCTGGTCTCCAAAGTGAATCCAGGCCAGCTGGGGCTACAGGAAGACCCCATCTCAAAAAGACAAGAAAAAGGTAGAAGGAGACAACTAATTCCACAACGTGGTCTTCTGACCTCCACATATGTGCCGTGGCACTCCTGCTCACACACATAAATCATGCTCACACACATCATTCATATACACATAACAATAATGAATAAATTAGTAATTCAAAAAAATTAGGTGCGAGGGACTAGAGAGATGGTTCAGTGGTTAAGAGCACTGGCTATTTTTGCAGAGGACCTGGGTTCAGTTTCCAGCACCCACATGGTGGCTCACAACTGGCTGTAACTCCAGTCCCAGGGGATCCAACACCCTCTTCTAGCCTCCGAGGGCATTGCATGATATGGATGCATCTACTTACATGCAAGCAATACGCTCATATACATAAAATAGAAATAATAAATGAAAAATGTTTAATTAGACCTGACCTGAGACACAGGAAGGACATTGCTAAAAACTGAGGTAGGAAACCTGGTAGGGGGAAGAGAGATGGGAAGATCAGGATGCGAACTGCTGAGCAGATAGCTGTATATACAAATCTAGGGAGATGCTCCAGGCTGGAGGGATCCGTTTTAGCATCACCAGTCTAAAGACAAGACCTCTTTAAAGCCTGAGAACCAAGAGAGATCACTAAGTTTCAAGGAAGGGGGATCCACCAAGTCAAATGCCACTGATGAGTTCATAAAAAAATGAGACTGAGGAGGGAGTGTCAGGTTAGATTTGCAAAGTACAAGGATGATGGGTCTGTGGCTCAGATGGTACAGTGCTTGCCTAGCATGTATGAAGCAGTAGATTTGATTCCCAGGACTTTGTTAACCAGGCATGGTGGCTGGCGTACACATGTTATACTAGCACTCTGGAGGTGGAAGTTTAAGGTCATCCTTGCCTACATAATGAATTTGAGGCTACAGGGTGGGGTCTTAACCCTATCCTCTCCAAAAAAGTACAGGTACGGCCAGGGCTGACTAGCAGCAGATGGGGATGGAGACTAAATGGCTCTAAGTCACAGGAACACTGATAGACACAGGAAATAGGTATGGCATTTCTAATTGACCATTTTATGTGCCCGCCTCTCCTCACCCTAGCCTGACATTAACTTCCCAGCTCTAGAACAAGGAATATGTGTGGAAGACTGAGGCAACCAGCCTGACTAGGTCAGTTAGAGGAAGTTAGAGAAAAGACAGATCAGAAAACAAGAGAGGGTGGGGAGGAATCCCTTGGAGTCCCAACACCATGGTTCAGCCCCTGCACCTGCTGTCCTAAGCCTCCTGTCCTTAGGCAAGTTCCCTCACCTACCCAAGCCTCGGTTTCCTCGAGTGGAAAACGGAAGCAAGCTAATATTTGTTGTCCCTCTCAGAGGCCAGAATACAGCATTGGCCAGGTTGACTGCTGAAGAGCAAGGAAGGCCAAGAGAAGCCTTCAGCTTGGCAGTGAGCACAAGAGACTGTGGTATCCTCGGTGGGTCTGGGATGCAGCTAACCAGAACTCAGGCCAGGACAGGAGCTGGAAAGGAGAGGGGGCAAGAGGGACCTTTTGGACAGGGACTCACATTGGCCTCCCCTGAGCCTGGAACACAGATGGAGGAGACCCAGAGGGCCAAGAAATGGAGACCCAGAGGCAGAGAAGCCCCCAAGGCTCAGGTTAAGAGACAGAAAGAGGGAGCCTGAAGAGGACTCCGGGAACATGAGGCACCGGGCAAGCAGGAGCGGGAGCAGGCTGGGGCCGCGCGGGCGCGGGGTCCCCGCGGAGCTGGGTGGCGGTACTGGCTAGGCGCCCCCGCGCGGGCCGCTCGCCCAAGATGGCGATGGAGGGGCGGGCGAGCGGGCCGCGGCCCCAGCCCCCGTTCCGGCCCCCTCTCG